CCAAGTCAGAGCCTGTCTTAATTATTTTTCTCTCATTGCTGAGACAAAATACCCCACACCCCAAGTTAACGGGGGAAAGGTGTATTTAGCTCACAGTTTGTAGAGGTTTCATCCACAGTCAGCTGGTTCCAAGGCAGAATGGCATGGCAGAGAGGCAACACAGAAGAGAGCAAGCAGAAAGCAGCAAAAGCAAGCAAGGAAGGGAGAAGACCGGCCTTTTTCTGTCCCTTATATTGTATCCAGGCTACCAGGATTGTGGCAGTGCCAAACCAATCAGTGGACTGATGTAGTGATCACCCACCCTTCATCTTAGTACTCTGAATCCCAGCAGTGCACCATGAATCAAGCACATACTCTAGATTCAGCCACCTCTGAAAAAAACGCTACCTATGACTGCATGAGGCTTTGGGGGGACATCTAGACACAAGCCATAACAAAGCCCAAATCTGTGCTGTATACTCAAATTTGTTAATTTTTTAAAAAAATGTTATGAGGGTAATAGTTTTTTCTTTATTTTTATGCTTTTGCAAGTCTGGGGTTGAACCCAAAACCTTTACATGGAGCAACACTCCCAACCCTATTATTATTATTATTATTGTTATTATTAATTTTGGTGTAGGCTCTCACTAAGTCACACAGTTTCCCATGCTGCACCTAAACTTGTGATCTATTTTCTCTCAGCCTCCTAGAGTGCTGAGATCACAGGCGCATGGCACCATGCCTGCCTCCTTTATTATCTCAATATGATGAATTATATTGACTGATTTTAATAAGCGATATTATATTTCTGATATAAACCTCTCACTTGATAGTGATATATTATCCTTTTGTTTATTGCTGGTCTCATAAAGTGAATTGGGGAGTATTCCTTCTTCCCCTATTTTCTGAGGAGTTTGTATGAGACTGGTGCTGTTTAGTCCTAATATATTTGACTAGTTTTTAGTAGTGAAGCCATTTGAACCTGAAGTGTTTTTAGTGGGGAAGTTATTACTCATAAATTTAATTTCTTTAATAAACATAGTTATTTAAATTTATGTCTTTTTATGCTAGTTGTGATCATTTATATTTTTCAAGGAATTTATCCTTTTTATCTGAGCTGACTTTATTGACAGAAAGTTGTTTATAATTTGTTACATAAGTATTGTGTGCTGACTGATTATGCCACTGGAGCTCTAGTTGTTTATAATTTGTTATTACTCTTCAATTTACTTTTTTTATTATTGTCTTTTTTTTTTTTTATTTTGGTACTGGGAATCGAACTCAGGACTTTGCGCTTGCCAGGCAGGCACTGAGCTGCTAAGCTATATCCCCAGCTCCTGTTACTACCTTTTTAATATCTCTAGGAGCTGTAGTAGTAATCCTTCTCTTTCATTCCTGATATTGATAATTTGTGTCTCATCTCTTTTCTCAGATAAACTGGGGTTTTTAATCAATTATTATTTTTGGTTTTGAAACAGCTTCTGATTTTATTAAATTTTGTGTTGTTTCATTTTTGGTCGATTACTCTTGCTCTTTATTATTTCATTTTTCATACTTTTGGTTTTATTTACTACCTTTTCTAGCTTATTATTAAAGTAGAAATTTAGGTGATTTTAAAGTTTGTTTTCAATATAAGCATTTAAAAGTATAAATTTATGTCTGAGTGCTGCTTTAGTGGCATTAATCAAAATTGATCTGTTGCATTTTAATTTCATTCAGGTTAACAAATTTGTAAATTTTTTGATCATTTTTGCAGTTGCCCTAGGGGTTATTTGGGTGCATATTACCTAATTTCCAAATATGGGGTAATTTTCTAAATATCCGTTTGATTTCTAATTTATTCTGGTCAGTGAATATATTCTGTATAGTTTAAATCCTTTCATATTTGTGGAGACGTGTCTTACATACAGAAAAATAATTATTTGGTGTTTTTTGTGCCGGGTCTTCTCCCCAGTGAAAACGTTCTGGCCCCCAGGTCCTGCGGGCTCTGAGTCATCTTGTAAAACAGAGGACCGCCTGGAGGCTGAAGCTCAGAGCTGTCACTGTTACTAACTGCAGCCTCTGACAGGAGAGCCGGTGCCCGGCGGGGCGGGAAGTGGGGAGGCCGGGACAGGGGGCCAGCGCCTGCGCCTGCCCCGCCCCGAGGTGCTGTGAGAACGACCCGGGGCTGCCTCTGTCCCCGGAGCCCTGGGTTTCCCAGCAGAGTAAGGCTCTCTGCGCTCCTCTGTGTTAGGTGCTCGGGCTGTTGGCTGTTCAATGACGGATGTAATGGTCGTGATTAAAAGTTTCAGAGTGTTGAAAACTAGGTCGTTTAATTATAAGGTTGACTGTAGCAGAATTCAAGAGGGCCTCATTTTGAAAGCTTATATTCCAATCTTTTAAAATTGTGTTGCAGACCATTCTCCAGCCCTCATCTGCCTATGTAATTTATGTTCAGAATATTCGTTAGATAGTAATTGTTTTTGCTTTTCTCATCTTTTCTTATTTTTCATTTTTGAATTTTGCTAGTGTCTAAAACAGTTCCTTATGACCCAATAATTAATTGACTAATTCATTAGTTATTACATTTATACTAGTATCTTTTGGAAGAGAAGACTGAAGAATAATCTATAAATCTTGCCAGTTTACAGACATGGAAGTGCATGTTATGTCTGGGGAAAATAGCCCCTGTAATGTTAACTAATGCTGTACCTATTTCCTAAAAACAGGATTGTAACCATAAAGGGTAATATTAATATTTTAAAAATCAAACTTTTTTTTGGTACTGGGGATTGAGCCCAGGGTATGCTGGGCTACATCCTCAGCCTTTTTATTTTATTTATTTATTTTTTATTGAGACAGGGTATCACTAAGTTGCCTAGGCTGACCTTGAACTTATGATCCTCCTGCCTCAGCCTCTGCAGTAGCTAAGGTCTCAGCTATGGGAGCTATTTTGGGTCATGGCACTATAGTGGCTGGCTAGCCAGTTCAGTATGCAGAACAAACAGCCCCTTTGAAAGTAACATAGGCTTCAGCTTTCCAGTAGGAATGTGTTTCATTATCTCAAAACTAATGGAGATCATTAGCGCAATCAGTACATACTATCTAATAGCATTCTTACCTTCTTATTCTTATTTTTAAGGTACAGGGAAAACAATGGTGATGGATATATTTTATGCTTATGTGGAAATGAAGAGGAAAAAACGGGTCCATTTTCATGGCTTTATGCTAGATGTGCATAAAAGTAAGTTAAAAATGATCTGAAAAATTATTATTCACTGAACAAACTCTACAAAACAATTTTTTGCAGTGAATGAACATATACTCTTTTATATATATATATATATATATGTTTATTTTAATTTTTTTGCCACATGTGATGGTGCATGCCTGTTTTCTGAACACTGGGGAGGCTGAGGCAGGAGGATCACTGCAAGTTGGAGGCCAACTTAGACTATGCAGTGAATTCAAGGCCACCCTGAACTACATAGTGAGACCCTGTCTCTGGAAAACAAAACAAAACAAAAGCAAACAACAACAAAACTAAAAAAATAAAAAAACAATTCGATTTTTGCTTGAAGTAAGATTTTGTTTGGTTTCATTTGTTTTGTGCTATATTGAAATAGTAGTACATTCAGAGTTGGTTCTTAAAACGAAGTCATTACTTCCCAATCAAAGAACAGAAGTTACTACCTGAAGATCTAAAGATCAGGCATTGTTTTACTTCTGCTAGTGGTTAATTAAAAAATATTAAAAGCACAATTTTGAGATTTTTTTGTTTTGTTTTGTTTTGTTTTTGAGACAAGGTCCCTCTGTGTAGTCCAGGCTGACTTTAAACTCGCTATGTAACCCAGGCTGCCCTCAAACTCACAGCAGTCCTTCTGCCTCAGCCTCCTGAGTGCTGGGATTATAGGCATGCACCACTACACCCAGCTAAGATGTTATGCTTTTTTTCTCCTCCCCCTAAGATGTTTTTCTTATTTGTTTGTTTTTTGTCTTTTTGAGACAGGGTCTTGCTGTGCAGTTTAGGCTGGCCTTGAGCTTATGTTATTTTTGGTAGGTTCTTTACTCTGTGTACCTTTAGCATGTAGGCATTCAGTTTGTATTTGCGTATACACTCCAGCAGGACCACAACCTCCTCTCCCACCTCTGAAACCATCAGGGTTAAGATTACTCTGTTGGTCATCTCAGAAGTGATTCTAGAGTGCAGAGGTTTGACCTTGAGGTTTCCTCACAACTGTAGGACTCTACTAGTTGAACAATTTATTTGAAGGTAGAGAAGACACAACCAATTTCAGAAATCGAGATTAATTGTAATCACATTTAAACCTAATTTTTATGTCTTCACTAAAGTTTCATGTGGGGATTTTACAACATGCTATAAATGTTTAAAATGTACATTAATACTTGCTTTTAATTTTATCCATCTAAGGAATACATCGCCTTAAACAGAGCTTGCCAAAAAGGAAACCAGGATTCGTGACCAAATCATATGACCCAATAGCTCCCATAGCTGAAGAAATCAGCCAAGAAGCATGTCTCCTATGTTTCGATGAATTTCAGGTACAGTAGAGCTTTTTCACAGCTGTAGGATGGTATACAGAATAAGACGTGAAGACTTAAATTTTACTCCTTTCCTCTCCCATCGATTTATAAATTGATTCTTTCTTACCACTTCAATTTTACTGTCTTGTTTGATGATCAGCAAATCATGACCTGCCTATTTCACCCACCTGGTTCTGTACGGCCCATCAAAAAAGAAAAGTTTTATATGCTTAAAGGTACTTGGAAGAAAGAAAACAAAACAAAAAATCCATCAGAAACTCTATGTGGTTTGAAAAGCCTAAAATATTTACTCCTCAGTCTTGTATGGGAAAAATTTATCCCTGCGTCTAAGTTATGGTCAGCGGCTCTACGCGTCCCAGCCCTGTACCACAGAGATAATGGAATTCTCAAACAAGGTCTTTAGAGATATTCGGGTAGATTTTGAAGTGCTGTATAAAGAACAGTGGTTCACACATTTCGCTTAAGTCTTACTTTATACTTAATCTGTGATAAAGGAAAAGAATTGCCTAGTTGAAGTTTTAAAGTTTCTTCCAGCCTTAGGATTTTCTGACGTCATGCATATAGGTTGGTGGCGAGTCATTTCCTGACTTCTGTTTCGCGGGAGATTAACAAGGAGGAATCCGATGTGACCAGGGTACTTTTATCCCAAGTCCTGCCTGCCAGTCTCCTGAGCAACTGACACATATAATTAACACTGACCTAAGTTAGTGATGGAAGGGAAGGAACGTTTCACCAAGGAAACCATCACACCGCGCTCTCTGCTTCTCCCTCCCTGCAGTCTTGTTAAGGCTGCCTGGTGTTGACCCTTCCTACTGGAGAGCAGGTGCTCCCTGGCTCTCTGAAGGGGCACATGGGTTACACATGCGTCGCAGAGGGGGGCGGGTCTCATCTAGTTCTGAAGATAGCACCGGGTTAGCGGCTCTGCTGCATTCAAGATGGAAGTCAGTGATGCACCAGTAAGGACCACTTAGCTGGGTGTGGTGGTGCAGGCCTTTAATCTCAGCACTCTGAGAGGCTGTGTCAGGAGGATCTCAAGTCTGAGGCCAGCCTGGGCAATTTAGCAAGACTGCCTAAAAATAAAAAATAAAAAAAAAGGACTAGGGATGTAACTGTGTGTGAAGGCCTTGAGTTCAGTCCTCTTCAAAAAGGCCATTTCTTCCAATTTTCTGTTATTAACCTTTTACCCAAAATAGCTCTATATAAAACTGAATTGGTACAGTTAAATTTTCAATTTCAATTTTCAACTGAAACATGTAAGCAATATATTGAATCCAAACTTTATGAAATGATCTATGGTTTAAAAATGTGTTTTTACATCCCTATTTGGCTTAAAGTAGTTATTGTTTTCCCTACGTAGAGGTGAGGTATCTAAAGGCATCAGAATTTCCTAGGTTTAAATTCATTACTTTTACCTTTAAAAACATGCAAATGAATGATTATCAGATGTCTGTGGCATGAGGACCTTTTCAAAGGCCAGACTAAGAAAGTTAGGGAGCATTGACACTGGATTGCAAAGCACATGAGCCTGAGGAAAATACAGAACAAGCAGAGCCCACTTATTAGGCAGAGTAAGCACAGTGGGGAGGGCCCTGGGTACTCTTAAGGATTTATGAAAGCTGAGCATGGTGGCGCACACCTGTAATCCCAGAACTTGGGAGGCTGAGGCAGGAGGAACGCCTCTAGTATGAGGCCAACTTGGGATACACAGTGAGTTCAAGCCAGCCTGGACTACACAGAGAGACTCTGTCTCAAAAAAAAAATTTTGTTTTTCATTTTACATGAGTGTCAGAGAGATCAAGAACAAACAGACCCTTGTAAAATGTTACTAACATAGAAGAGGTAGATGTGATGGAGATGTCTCCTGTTACCTGAATCATCCAGGCTTAGTTTCAAGTTTATTTAACCATTTACTGTTTTGTCTCAGTTACCTTAACGAGCTCTATTCTGCATGACAGGACTCTCTCTGTTCCATTGCTAAATGGACTGTCCCTGGGCATCTGCTGTGTGAGTAGCTAGTCCTCAAGCTTGTCAAAAGCCGTGGGCTTGTGCAGTGCGGCCTGGGGAATGGGTGCTCCTGTCCTCTTTCCCATGAACAGGGGAAGCTCCTTCTAAGTGAGGAGACACGGAAAATGTATGAATCACATTCAGAGGACGGGTCCAGGTGCTCCACAGTCACCCACTGAGCCCTCCCCCGCCAAGCTCCGCCAGTCCCAAGCTCACTCCTGCCTCAGTTCCCGTATGGTACTTCAGCACTGTTTCCAGCCTGGCCTCAAGAAGGTCCCTTCTTTAGCTGGATCTTCTATGCCTCTTTTTTTCAACAGTTTTGCAGAGAACGCAACTCCTCACCTCATGTTTTACCCCTGTATGGATAACGCAGGGATTTCTATATGATCTATAAAAGATAGCAGAAACATTGGTCAGAAGTACTGTGAGGAAATGTCACCGTCCTTAATAAAAGGTCAGTTGTCTCCAATGGAAGGAGAATTACTTGGTGAAATAAAGCCCAGCAAGAGCAAAGGTGAGGTGTCCCTCTGTTGGCAATGCTTTTGGGTGCAGGCAGCAGAAAAGCCAACTTAAAGCACTTGAACTCTCTGGAAGAAAGATTATGGTATAGGAGGTGGTGTCATTTCTCTTGCTGAGATCCTCCTTCCTCTTCAGTCTGGTCTTTGACGTGTTCAGCCTTGCTCATTGCCCCCTATTGTGTCCAATTCTATTTTCCTCATAGGCTAGGAGCTATGGTTAATAACCGGGTGTAAATACTTCTTTCCCAGCAGTGCTCTGAAGAAAATATGCACAGAGATGGCAAAACAAGACTGCATACAAACTGGCTGCATTTATTTAATCCTAATTTTGGCGTAGTAGAGTTATTCGTGCAGTGAGAGTAGTGTAGAGTTGTTTAGTGTAGTTACTAGTGTGTTAAAGTTGACCACATGGGAAGCCCCCTTCCCTGAACAAGGTTGGCCTGAATGTCCTAGAGTGAAAAGTGTTAATAAGTCCGGCCCTTTTATGTCCTGTGCAATACACAGCTGGAATCTGAGGGCTTACCCAATCAATGCGCACAGGAAAAGGCCAATATTTACGTATGCTCACTGCTGAAGTATGAAGGCAGGATTGTTCCCCACAGCGAAAGAGGTACACTCTGCACAGAGCTGGGATTCAGAATCCTAACTATCTTCTGCTGGTTTTATAGAAGCTCCTCCAGCACACCAGAACTGGGCTAGCACACATCCAAATCTATGCTGAAATGTCCCCTTCCTACAGTTCTGTAGAATAAAAGGACACCCGCAAATATTGCTGCACCAGCACTCTGATCCCCAACACCCACTAGTTTTAAACAAACCAGCATGCTTTCCACTTCATTCCTGCCACATGGAACATTGTCCCCCGCTGTGACAGCCCCTCCCTAAGTCAGGGGTCGTGGCCCACAGTGGCCAGCTGCCCTGTCCTAAGGAAATCACTGGGGCGCTGGGTGGAGAGGTGTTTGCAGAGTTTCTTTCACAGGGTCCTTCCTACACCTGAAGGATGCTTTATGCATAGCTCTCTGACCCATCGTCAGGGGATCCCTCACCCAGGAAAACTGGCAGGCACCTTTGTGGCTCTTGTCTGACCTATTCCAGTTTATGCTGCCTGAGGGACGATGACTCTTGCTGGGGGAAACGCAGCTTGAGGTAGCCCGTTGTTTTTCAGGTGGATGGTGCAAATTGAACACACTACCACAATAGGAAATCAGTCCAAAGATTTATTACTTATACATCTTGGGCAAGGAGAATGCTACAAGAGTCAGGCAGAGAGGGAATGTGCACATACCGACTAGAAACACACACACACACACACACACTTATATATATATATAATGTGGATCATTTTAAATGGGAGGACAGATGCATGAATGACATATGTAAAGCTGCGGGGAAGAAGAGTGGGAAACTCCGTCTTTGATTAATTGCTTTATTTATTTTTGAACTCACATCTCCCTGTGTTGCCCAGGCTGATTTGAACTCTTTGGCTCACTCTGTCCTCCTGCATCAGTGTCCCAAGTCACTGGGACTCTGGGCCCGCACCATCACACCCAGCTTAGTCTGCTCTTCTAGGCTGGAGTGATGCCTCTGGTTTCTTATCTCTGGCCACAGGTTTGCGTTGTTTGCGTGTACTGTTCTGATTCCCAGGCAATGATTTTACTGTATCCTCCTGTCATGCCCCCCACATATCCTTAAGGTCTTCTTCTGACCTTTGCTAAAGAGATAACTATCTCCTTCTTAGCAAGATTAATCCTAACATCCTATTTAAAACGGCAGTTTTTCATTGCTCTCCGCACATCTGATGCCTCATATGCTCCCAAGACATTTACTACCTTTGGACATATATTTACTTGTTTTTTATGTTTATTATTTGTGATCTGCTTTGTATTCTACTACAGGATATAGTGGCCATCAATCTTTATTTTGTTAACTGATGTATCACAAGTGTCTAGAACAGTGCCTGAGAATGAATGAATTCTAGTATCAGACGATAACTAGTGAAGTAGTTCTATTAAGTCCCACTCCCTTTATGTTAAGTAGTATTTTTCAAACAAAATCTGTATTTGTAGAACACAAAGAACATTACAACTCCATCCCATACTTGTTCCCATCAACACTGTGAATTATCTGAATGTTTTTGTCTAATATAGGAAAAATGATACATAATTTTATATTCATTTAATAATGTGGTTGGATTTGTCACATTTATTTTTATTTTTTATTTTTTATTTTTTGGTTTGGTTTTTTTCCGGTACCGGGCATTGAACTCACGACCTTGGGCTTGCCAGGCAGGTGCTGTGCCACTGAGCCAAATCCCCAGCCCCTTGTCACATTTATTTACTTACTAAATTTACCTCTTATGAACTGTTTGAGGTGTTGCCCACATATTCATTAGTATGCTTATATTCCATCTAATATCATCTCCAGCTCTTTTTTAAATTTTTTATTTTGAGAAAGGGTCTTGCTAAGTTGCTCAGGCTGGGCTAGAACTTGTGACCCTCTTGGCTTAGCTTCTCAGAGTTCTGAGATGACAGGTCTCTGCCACTGCCCAGTCATCATGTACATTCTTTATATCTTTTCTTTTGTGGTGCTGAGGATGGAATCAAAGGCCTCCCAGGTGCTTGGCAAGCACTGTGCCACTCAGCTACACTCCTGGCCCTGATGATGTGTATTCTATGGTGTCATCTGCTGTATACTGAGTACTTTCTGTGTGCCTGTGTTCTTAACTGCTGTACTATACTGTATATATCATTCCATTTATAGCTAAAATTCTACAAGCCATACATTACTTATGTGGAGTTATACAAACATACATACTATATATATGTACTAGCCATAGTTAACGTTTCTTGATAGTTTAATATATATCTCATTATAATTTTTGCAGGGTTGGTTTTATTACTGCTTTCATTATACTGGTTAAGTAAATTGACCAAGGTCACAGAGCTAGTAACTGACAAGTTTAAATCCAGTGTCAGTGCCCTTATCAGTAACAACTATGTTATGTGTGTTTTCCTTGGGATAGTCTTATTGTATGTGTTTAAATATATAGCTCTAGGTCTGGGTGGGTTTCGGTAGATGTTTTAATAATAAAGCCTAAAAATTATCCTTCAGCCTATTAAACCTAGTAGAATACTTGCTGATTTATTAGAAAAGAATTTTTGGGTGCTTTATGCTTAGTGACAGCGTGTCTACAATCACCACTTCACTTTTCAAATCAAATCATATTAGCAGTCTTGATTTTTAGCTAATTATTATTGGCCTTTAGGTGATGTTAATTAATATAATATTTATTTTACTAAGGGGATGAATGGGAATTATTGCTGCTTAAAAACAAGGGTATACTCTTGTTTCTGTGCTTTTGCATTTAAGGAAGTTTTAAGATTATGTGTTGTTGGGGCTGGGGATTTAGCTCA